ACTGATGATTTGGAATCAGCTTTTGCAATCCGCAAGGCTTCTGTGACTGACAGTAGCGCAGTCTCAGTTGAATGGCCACTCCTGAAACCTGACTGGTTAGGATCCAGTTTGTTGTTCTGAGAAAGAAACAATGACTGCACTGCCTTTTAGCCCCGCCCACCGATTCTACAGCACTGCCTGTCTAGCTCCCCCCACCGATTCTACATCACTGCCTGTCTAGCTCCGCCCACCGATTCTACAGCACTGCCTGTTTAGCTCCGCCCACTGATTCTACAGCACCTCCTGTTTAGCTCTGCCCACTGATTCGCGCATATAGTGTAAATAACGAGAGAGGCAAATGCAGGTCTATGCAGAAACCAAATGATAAAGATGCTCCGAAGACATCAAGACGCTGTTCAGTGCCAAGTTGTGGAAAAACAATCTTTGCATCGCCTTCGTTCTGATCCCAACATTAGGAAAGAGTGGAGGAAGTTTATTTTTAATGAAGATCCAGACCGCGTCAGAAAGAACTGTGGATTCGTTTACAAACAAAGCACAATTTGACACAAGATTTTTAAAAAGATTGAAACTAAAAGACGATGCTGTGCTGAATATATTGGATCTGACAGTAATGTTGCACCACACAAGTGTGAGGAACTGTTTTTATTACGTGCTCACTATTGCTTTGTCTGTTATTACAGATCGTTTGATATGTACTGAGTATTTATGCGTCCATCGGTAAAGGATGTAGGCTGTCAAACATACACAGCTGTTAGCCAATCACAGCAGTAGGTGTTTACTTCTGAGTCTACAATCCACCACACCTAGAGCGTTCTGATGAGGGGGTCAAAAACAGGACAGAAAATAGCCTATTACTGCTAAATTATGATGTTTTTTGATGTAAAAATCTTGATAACATTATAAGTGGACCTCAGAGAACTGTACAAAATAATAAAAAAGGCAGTTCCCCTTTAAAGCAAATAGATATCATTGTATGTCCCCAGTTGCTTAATCAGGACACTGAATTTTGTATTACAAGATTTCTGAAATGTTGTTTAAGCAAATGAGAAATTATCTAATTAATTATGTACTAATTTGCTAAATCTGAACAGTGGATAAAGCCAGGTTCAAAATTGTTGTTTGATTTTGTTGACATATTAGAGTTTTTTTTACTGAGGAGATTTTGGATTTGTCTTTTGGATTTCTACATAAATCAGAAAATACTGTCAGCAGACAGAAAAAAAGATGCTTTAAGAATAAAATGTGCGAATGATATATGAACAATAAAAAACTTCAGAGTATAGATAGGAATAAAACTAAGTAAGTGCTGCTGAAGTGGAGGAGAAAGCTTAAAAGATAGGTATTGTAATTGAAATATACAGACACAGATATATAAAATGTAATACAATAAATACTTAAATGTGTATTTTGGATGTTTCCGTCCCACTAGTCTGAAAAAAGACATGCTATGGAAGCAAAATAGACCAAAACTGACCAGTTCATTAAAAAAAACAAAGGTTTTGCCTATAGTGCATTAATTGCTATAGTCATTAATGTTAATGTGCATTGAGATGGTTTTATTTGGTGTATTTAAGACCAAATAAAACCATCTCAATGCACATTAACTTTAATGATATCTTCAGAAACTACTAATCTGTGATTTACAGATTACAGGAACATAACAGACCTTTGCCTTCTCTTCAGACATCATGTAGAGCTCCTGCTCGCTCATCCAGGCTTCAGCTTCAGCTGCGTCAAAGTAGTACTGCTGGGCCTTGTGGGCCTCCTCGAGTCTGGCGTGCCGTTTCTCCGTCTCCTGGATGATCAGGCTCCACAGCTGCTGCAGGTCGGACAGATGGGCTTGGATGGCTTCCACGTTGGGACTGTCGGCCTTCAGGATGCTCTGGCTGCGCTCGAAGATGTCGTCGCAGCGCGGCTGATGGCCCTGGATCTCCTTCTGTAATGTCTGTGGATTAAAGGACGTTTGAGTAAGTGTGTGTGTGGAAAACCTGTTTTTAATTATGTACCTAATTGGATTAAATGTACAATAGCAGCACAAATGATCACGATGACACACAACAAGAAGTTTCTTCTGCTCACTGAGGCTGTACATACTGTAAAACAGTAATATTGTGAAATTCAGTCACCTGTTGTCAATTTATTTTAAAATGTAATTTATTCATGTGATCAAAGCTGAACTTTTAGTCTTCAGTGTCACATGATCTTCAGAAATCAGTATAATATGCTGATTTGCTGCTCAAGAAACATTTCTGATTATTATCAGTGTTGAAAACAGCTGTGCTGCTTCATGTTTTTGTGGAAACTGTGATAAGTAAATTTTTGCCTCCTCCACCTCCCTCTGACGCACCTCCACCTGGTTCTCCAGCATCTGGAGACAAAGGAGAGGAGTGAGTCTGGTCCTTCAGAACATAAACACAGCCGTCAGCTCTGATCATCTCAAACCTGTTGCTTCTTCATCAGGATGCTGACGCTGGTCAGATCTTTGCCGTAGTCGTCCGATTGGATCTGACCCTCCAGGCCCACCAGCCACTTGTCCAGATCGGCGCAGCTCTGCGTGAAGAGTTCGGCTTTGTTGGCATCAAACAGACACTGGGCTTTAGTCTGAGTCGTAGTTTCCAGTTCGGTCCACATCTTCTGCAACGTGGCCAGCTTCTCTTTCACTATGGCTTCTGTCTCTGGCTTCTCCGAAACCAGCTGCGTCCCTTCCTGCAGACAGACAGAGAAATTACATGTAATGAAATCACATTTACATTTATGCATTTAGCAGATGCTTTTATCCAAAGCAACTTAGAAAGACTTTTGTTTATTTGTGATATGCAATCATATTTCACATACACCTAGATCAGGAAGCACGCAAGAAAAGAGGAGAAAATGCAGAAAAGAAAAAAGGTTTCAAAAGTGCATTGGTTTAAATTACATTAAAAAAGGATATTAAAAGGATATAGCATGGAATCCTCCATTGAATAAAAAATAAAAAAACGTTACGTGACTCTTTTCTCACAATACTTGTGAGATATAAACTTGAAATTGTGATATGTAAACTCATAATTCTGAATTTCTTTCTCGCAATTCTGATTTTATATCTCACAAACCAATAATAATAAATGTGGCATATGTGACCCTGGACCACAAAACCAGTCATAAGGGTAAATTTTTTTTTCTGAAAGCTGAATAAATAAGCTTTACATTGATGTATGGTTTGTTAGGATAGGACAATATTTGGCCGAGATACAACTATTTGAAAATCTGAGGGTGGAATCTGAGGGTGCAAAAAAAAATCTAAATTCTGAGAAAATCGCCTTTAAAGTTGTCCAAATGAAGTCCTTAGCCATGCATGAAGAGATACAGAATGAATGAATGCATAATGTTTTCAAAGAAGGATCATAGATTCTGTCTGGTAAAGCACTTGATTACTTATTTCATTTTCGGTATTTCAGGCAAAAACAGGATATCTAAGAAAAAAGATATGCCTGGATTTATTCTGTGAGGCTTTGTGAGATAAATGCACAAAAACATAAAAAACAGCACATTTTCAAGACTTGTAACTTGAGCACTTTTATGTTAAGTGTATTAATAACTGACCTTCTCGATTTTGTCCAGCCATTCTTTGTTGGACTGCAGTTCGGCCATGAAGGCCTGGTGTTTGAGCCATTTGCTGTGCAGGTTGCGAGCTTCATCGTAGGACATGTCCTGTGCTGTCAGCATCTTCTCATTGATCCACAGGGACAGCTGAGCAGAGGACGCAAAAACAGTCAAGCTAAGATGTGCTTCTATTGGATTTGCCTTATTTTTCAGCACATAAAACTAAAACCATAAAAAAAATTGTTACTTGAAATAAATACATGCTAACAGAAATAAAATTAATTGTTAATTATATATTCAAATATATAATATATCAAATTAGCCAACATTTCTCATTTGAATTTAGTTTAACTTGACATAATAAATGAATAAAACTGAAAATAAAAAATAATAAAAACACCAAACAACAAAATTACTAAAATTGTATGTATGTAGATGTATATGTATTATATATATATATATACAGTGGGTACGGAAAGTATTCAGACCCCCTTAAATGTTTCACTCTTTGTTATATTGCAGCCATTTGCTAAAATCATTTAAGTTAATTTTTTTTCCTGCCAAACGATTATTCCAAAATATTATTTTTTTTAAAATAATATATGTATGTGTACTGTGTATATTTATTATGTATATATAAATACACAAACATGTATATATTTAAAAAAATATTTACATATACATATATATATAATATAAGCATTTTATATTTAAACAAAACATATTTCTTAAATATATACATGCATGTGCATGTATTTATATATACATAATAAATCATCAATAATCGTTTGACAACATATATATATATATATATATAAACAGATTCAAAATATTAATAAAAACTATAATAACATCTGTTATAGTTAACTAAAACTGAAATTAATATCGGTGTTAAAATGAATGTTAACTGAAATGAAATATTTTTTTAAAATTATTAGTTAGTTGCCAACATTTCTCATTTTAATTTAGTTTAACTTGATGTACTAAAACTGAAAATAATAAAAACAATACAGACATACACAAAAATAATAAAAATGTCAAAAACACACAAAAAATGACTAAACCTTTAACTAAAATGAAAATGAAAAAATAAATAAATAAAAACTCCAAATTCTAAATATTAATAAAAACTATAATAGTTTCCTAACTTACCTGGTTGTTGAGGAAGGCCTCGGCTTGTTTGGTGTCTCGGAGGAAGATCTGATAGGCGTGAGACTGCGACAGAAGGTTCTGCCGGTTCTCCCACATCTTATGAAGCTCGTTCCATCCGGTATCCAGAGCCTGGAGCCTCTGTCTCAGGAACATGTACTGGGCGTCCGTTTGTCCCTGCGTCACCATCTCGCCCATGTCCCTCATCTTCTGGTAGTCCTCTTCGTAGTTGTTAATCTCGTTCTTGATGCCTTCGTGTTGGGCCAGAAGCTTCTCAGCCTCGGCTAGCGTGTTGGGCATGTCCTCGGACGCGATGGCCGTCTGCGTGCGGGAAAGCCAGGACTGGAAATCATCCAGCTCTCGGAGGAACTGCTGCAGCTTGCTGGCTTCCCCGAGAGATGCCTCACGGTTTCGTAGGGTTTCTTTCATCTCCTCCCAGACGGCGGTGATCTCGGCCAGCCGTCCTGTGATGGCTTTGGCCTGGTCGGGATGTTCGCCGGCCAAGCGCTCCGCCTCGCCGCGGAGGTCGCCCAGTTTGGCTTCGATGGCGGCCAGATCGCGCTCCATGCCGGTGAGCTTGCGCTGGAGGGCCATTACGCCCGTCAGGTCGTTGCCCAGCTCCTGGGTGGACTCGATGACTTTGGTCTTCTCACGGATCCAGGATTTGGTCTCGTTACAGTCCAGGTGGTAGTTCTGCACGCCCAAGGCTGAGTTCAGGGACTCTTTCTTCTGGTCCACCAGGTCGCGGAACTGACTCCACCTGCGGATGAGCATCAGGTTGTAGTTTTACGCTGGAACCAGCTGGTTCAGACTGGTTAAGTGCTAGTTTAGACATGCTCAATGCATCTATTGAAGGGAGTTGACCAGCATGCTCGGATGGTTAAGCTAGTTAAAGTTGTGTTCAATGAGTAGAGAAAGGAGCTGGAAATGCCAAGGTCATAGATTCAACTTCCAGGAAACACAGATAGCTGATCAAATGTACGATTCATTGAAATAAAAACAAAATCGCAATATGGCTAAATGCAATAATCAAAAAGATGGTTTGAAAATGAAGAAATTGAGACTGGCAAAAAATATTAGTATTGTAATTTAAAATAAAACTATTATTATTATTATTATTATTATATTTAAATGCTTCATTTGTTTATTTTACAGTGAAATATTACAGATGTAATATTTCTTATTTTGTTTTTAATATATATATTTATTTAGGAAACCAAAATTGCAATGTCTTAGTGCCATTATCAAAAATAGGATTAGAAAATGAATTAAGACGGTCAAAAATATTAGTATTGTAATTCAAAAATAAAATCATTATTATTATTTCATTATTTTTCCTATACATTAGATTTTTTTATTTACAGTGAAATATTACAATAGTAATATTAATAATTTTGTTGAATATTTTTATTTAATTGACCAAATTCACAATATGGCTTAGTGCAATTATCAAAAAGAGGGTTTGAAAATAAAGAAATTAAGAGTAAAGTAAAAAAAAAGTAATGTAATTTAAAATAAATTACAGTAAAATTACAGTACAATTTTTCTTAAATGCCTATTTAGCAAACCGAAATTGCAATATGGATTTTAAATTGAAATTGCAACATGTACAATTACCAAAAAGATGGATGGTACAATTACCTAAATATTATAATTTTTCTTAAATATGCAAATGTTTTAGCTTACAGTGAAATAGTACTATGTATATATATATATATATATATTTTGCCAATTTTAGCATTTTAAATCACAATAACAATTTGCATCAGACAAATCACAGTTAGATTCCCCCCCAAATCGTGTATCTAGCAACATGTTCTGGTGACCAGCTATGCTAGTACCGTATTGGCCCGAATATAAGACGACCCCCCTTTTTCCAGATGTACCTTTTGGAAAAAGGCTTTTTAAAAACCAAATCTTGTTTTTTTCTCAGTAAAACACATTTTGTCTTCAATTATTTTCATATTGCATATTTTTCCTATTTTAATTTTTGTTTTGAAAGTATGGTAAAAACTGGTAAAATGTACCAACAATCACATTTAAAAAATATACACTTTTTGATATACCATAAAAAAATTAAATAAAACAGGCAGCCCATCTGAATTAGGACATTTAGGCTATCCATCTAATAGTAGCCTACCAAAATCGTATTAACAGTAGAAGTTAAATCTTACTGTAGTCTTCGGTATTTGTACTTTCTACACAGAACTTAAAAATACATTTGGCACCAACACAGAATGCTATGACTTGCCTGGTGTTGAGTTTGTCTTGTTGGGCTTTGATGTCTTTCTCACTCGGGTGTCCGCTGTGGATCAGCTGCCTGGCGATCTGATTGACAACGGCCACGCGTGACGCCTGGTTATTCATTTCAGGCTCCAGACTCTCAAACCTGGAGGGTTATCAAAACATTTTCATCACACAATCATCAAGAACAGCAGTTCTGAAGAATAATGTTTTACAAGAAGGGCTAATTTGTCCTTGAGAAATTGAGAATGTGATGTGTGACCACATTAGAGTGAGTTCAATCTGTTATCGACCACAGAGAAGATTCAGATGTTCAAACTTCAAACTGCTTTAAAATTAAAGTTTTTAAAAATGCTTTCAGAATTCAGGCTTTTTAAACTCCTTCAAACTTCAAGCTTTTTGAACTATATCAAACTTAAAACTGCTTTAAACTTTTAAAACTACAAATTTAAAACTTCTTCAAAATTTGAACATTTAAAACTACTTCAAACTTCTTTCAAAAAAATTAAAGTTTTTAAAGATGCTTCATAATTCAGGCTTTTAAAACTCCTTCAAACTTAAAACTGCTTTAAAATTTAAGTTTTTAAAAATGCTTCAAAATTCAGACTTTTTAAACTCTTTTAAAACTTCTTCAAAATTAAAAATCCTTCAAACCTTGAATTTTTAAAACTACTTCAAACTTAAGACTGCTTTAAACTTTTAAAACTACACATTTAAAACTTCTTCAAACTTAAAACTACTTCAAAGGTCAAGCTTTTTAAACTACTTTAAGCTGTCTGGCTTGGTTTTCTCAAGCCAGCATCAAACATTTAAAAATTATACAAATCAAGTAATGGCACAAAACATACCCGCAAAATTACTGCAAAATGCATGGCATAAATATGACTACAAATATCCAGACTTGACCTCTCACCTGTGTTGAATGACCTCGAGGTCCTCCAGTTTCTCTGGGATCTCCATGCTGTTGAGCCACAGCTCCTTCTCGTCGATCCAGAGCTCACACGCGTTCGCCTCGCTGAACATCTTATAGAGTGCCAGGGCATCCTGCAGGGCCTGTTTCTTAATCCTGGACAGCTCTGAAACCTCCTTATAGCGTTCCTCAATGCCCGCTAGCCGTTCGCTGACGTTGGCAGCCTGGGCCTGTTCGGGAGGCAGGGATTGGGCCTGTTCGTGAAGGGCGTCAATCACCGGGCGATAACTAGCAACCTCTGCCGACGCGTCTTTGTGTTTCTTGACCAAAGCTTGAGTGGAAAATTCATCGTGGCCAACGTCAGCGGTGGAGACGATCCGAAGCGCGTCCAAAGTCCAGGCGTCGACGTCGTCCGCGTCAGCTTGGAACTGATGAAGGCTGCAAGCCTCTTCTAAGCGCTTTTTCCTCACCGCAGCCAGTTGCTCCAGAGCGGCCCATTGGGCTTGGACATCTGCGATACGTTCGCGAATCTTGGCTTCGCCGAAGTGCCCAGCATCAGCCATCGCTTGACCTTCGCGCACCGTGTGCTGGAGGTGGCCGGCGCGGCCACTCATTTCGTCTTCGAGAGCGCGGTGTTGACTCAACAGACGCACGGCGCCCGTCAGATCCTTACCGCAGTCGTCCGAGGACAGTATCTGCTCTTTCTCGCGAATCCAGCCCTCCTCCTCCGCCATCTCCCAGAAGAACTTCCACAGGCGGCGGGACTCTTCCAGACGGGCGCGACGCTCCGCTGCCAGCTGGGTCAGCTCCTGGTAGCAGAACTCCATGTGGGCCACGCGGTCACGGATGACCTGAGGGTCACAGGGTTTGTAACCTGCATCGGATGGGGAGAAGATAGAAAATATTAAAGCAGCAAGAAACAATAGACAAATATATTGTAAAAAATTATTTGTGACCCTGGAGCACAAAAGCAGTCTTAAGTCGCTGGGGTATATTTGTAGCAATAGCCAAAATACATTGTATGGGTCAAAATTATAGATTTTTCTTTTATGACAAAAATCATTAGGATATTAAATAAAGATCATGTTCCATGAAGATATTTAGTAAATTTCCCTACCGTAAATATATCAAAACTTCATTTTTGATTAGTAATATGCATTGCTAAGAACTTCATTTGGACAACTTTAAAGATGATTTTCTCAATATTTAGATTTTTTTGCACCCTCAGATTCCAGATTTTCAAATAGTTGTATCTCAGCCAAATATTGTGCTATCCTAACAAACCACACATCAATGGAAAGCTTATGTATTCAGATTTCAGATGATGTATAAATCTCAATTTTGAAAAATTGACACTTAAGACTGGG